GAAATCCAGCCAAATTTGTCTGAAATGGACCTAATAATCATGCTCTGACACAATACAATTCAGAGATGGCATGCAACCCTATCTCATGTTGCACTACGCTGTAAACCTGCTTGCTAACCCATAAAAACCCACAACCACCATAAATAACCACAAAAGTCAGTCGCACACCGACTGCATTCAACCAACGAGCATTCAGTTACCGAAGGCCCTGCATTGGTGGCCAGATTTGGTACGTCCGATAAGTGTCGTTGACTATGTACGGTGCGAAAGAAGTTCAACACGCTCACACATTCCCACACAACCCCTCTCTCACTCTCTTAATTCTCTGTAGTGAGTACAATACCGCACTGTAGACGTGCAAACCCGATACATCTTTCACAATCTCTAATTCTTTTAACAACACAAATATCACCGTAACGCAAACACCTCTTTCCAACGCTCCCTTGAGTGTCCACGTCTCCACAGGTAAAGGTCGGGGAGAAACTGCTGACTGAGACTGGCTAAGAACCACGCTGAATTGCACGTAGCATGAATTGCCACGTGAAGGCATCTGTCGTCAGTGCACACAGGCAAGAGCCTGCGTGGCTGCTGGGGTAGCCACATCTGTGGTAGGCGGCCCCAGAACCTGTGAGCGCCTCCCGCACCTTCCAGGACCCCCTCCCATAGTGCCTATGCCTCGTGGTGATGTCAGCCCTTATTCACAGTCTTTCCCGTACATTACACGATGCTTTCACGTTTTTCACCATTATATTTAATAACAGTAACACCGCTATTTTATAACATATTTTATTTAATGTCATCACTGGGGCTTTGGTTTACTTCATACTATAGTATTACTGTTACTAAATGCTTAATGGTCATTTTGCTAATTTACTTTGCTGTTATTAACGTGAGTTTACCAGAATTCTCCCACTATACAGGGCGGTTTATACACTTAAACTAAATCCTATTTATATATTATATATATTTATTATATTTATTGTTGGTATCACTGTCAAAACTCTGCAAGTTCTACCGTCCCCCCCCCCCCCGAGTTACGATTAACACCATGTTAATATCACATTTTAACATCTGGGTTGCTGTTAAAGTGGTTTAGTCCATCACAAAAGTACTTTGCCATAGTTCTGGGAAACTCAAGCATACACTTTCCGTTTACCTTGCTGCCCCCGTGCCTGCCCACGTTATCTCGATAATTTGAGCAGAGTGACAGACAGTATGGGGTCCCAATCTGTCTCCCCTCCTTGTGTAACATGGGTAAGCCCGAGCGTTAGGATTGGCTCTTATAGCAACCTCAGGCTTTTGTTTTTATTTTTACAACTGTCTTCTGCATTTTGCTTTACACGCATCCAATTACGATACACTACAAAAAAGCTGAGTGAGAATATCCTGAGGCCAACTCTGTTATCGGAGGTAAAGAAATGACCAAGCCAGTTGTAGGGGTCGAGACCATTTTCGTGGTGGTGAGGTGTGTGTGTGTGTGTGCATATGGAAGTGACATCTGTTTGGCATCTATGGCATTCGTCCTGCCGCCAAGTTTCTGTCCAACATCAGTGCGTGTGACTGCCACCTTCAACCTGAGTTTCACCCTTGGCAGAGGAATTCCCAACTCCCCTGAGGCAATGGCGGAGCCAGGATTTTCAGGTAGGGGGGGGGGGCAACCCCTCCAGCAATGAAAAATGATGGGAGTTGTTAGTAAGTAAGGACTTGTCCCTTGCTTTTTATTCGACGCGTGTGCGGCGATAGTTAGCCATCGATAGAGGGTCGAATTCGAACCGCGTTGTGTGATCGGCATCGCGCTCGCTGAAGGTGAATGCCTTCAGGGAAGTCGTGTGCTCTATACGCAACTGCGCACAATTATGAGTCACTTATAACCGCTTTGCCGTTACTTATTGCCAATTATGGACTCAGACTATTATCCGATCATCTCATAGAGTACCTGGCACATAATAATATGTTACACAGCGGCAGTGGGTGTCGCAAAATACCGATTTATTATTAATAAACCCCAATGATCTGATCGAAATTAGGGATTTAGATCGGATCATTGGGGGGGGGCACGTGCCACCCTGCCCCCCCACTGGCTCCGCCAGTGCCCTGAGGTCTATTTGAAGTCACCTCGTGGTGGCGGGGTTTTGGGACTCTGGCGTCATACAGCTACATCTATCACATGATCCCACTAATTTAATATGGAGATTATCACCACAAACATCACATTTTCATTATTTGTAACGAATTTTGAGTGCTTAATTTAAACAGTTGCACATAATTTCTACTGGGAATTACCAATGCGAGCTGTTTGTTTAAAAGTGACGTTTTAAGGACTGTAATCTGATACCCTCATGAAATTTGCAGAGTAGACCATTTCATACTGATGTAAAATTGTACAGATAAACATGGCTGATAGGGAGGAATTTTCCACCATTTTCTGTTTTTTAATGCTCACGGATAATTGGAGGCGTGCAGCACTTCCAGGAAACCATTATGGGTGATTTAGTCATCGGTAAGTTAACGTCCATGGTCATTTCTGGGTAATTCTTCTTATCGATGGATGAACATGAATCGGTGAAAAAATTCACCCCAGATCGATTCAGACTGCGAATATCCATAGTCGTGCATAATGTCAATGCGGATACGAGGCGTGCTTCTCAAAGTGAGGAAGTACTCGGTTCAAATGACAAATCGGTTTTATTGTCACATTTTCCTGTCACATCAGACTCAGCATAAGCATTTCATCAATCATCGTACGGTTATGACTTTACAATCTTTATAATCGCTATAACACGTGAAAACATTGATACAAAGGACTCATTTAAGTGGTAATAGCCATTTTATAACTTTAATTATCATTTATAACGTTTTCTTTAATACATGTTTTGTCAGCAAACGAAATATAAAAAAGCAACAACAAAATTACGATATTTTACAAAACACACATGACGATAATCCTGTCTACTATATACACGCTTTATGAAAGAAAAATAAGTATAACCCGTAAAAACTAAGTTTTTCACTATAAATCCTTTATATGCGTGGCAGCGAACTTAATATAAAGGATTTAAAAATATATTCGCCTGTGGAGGACGCGGGGATCGATCCCGCGACCTTTGGCATGGGAAGCGAGGGCGCTACCAACTGCGCTACTCCGCCACGGCCTGTGGAGGGGTTACGCTCTGGGCTCTTACACTCTGACGTTCAGCCAAAGCCATGAATGCGTTCTATTTGAATATATGTAAAATATTTTTTTTGCCTAAAAAGTGTAAAATTTTGGGAATTTTTTTCACGAAAATTAATTGTCTCGCACAACGAGTCTGTGTGCAAAATGTCAGCTCGATTGGATCACGGGAAGTGGGTTAAAAAACGACCGAAAGATTTGCACGGTCGTAAGCAAGCAAGCAAGCACGCAAGCAAGCATGCGAACTTAATATAAAGGATTTAAAAAAACCCTGCATCACCATAGCTTGGTCCCAGGAAGTACTGTGGCAGAGAGGGATATGCAATCGACCACGGACTGTCTCTATGGAAAGGAGTCTTGTGATTGACAATGGGGCAAGATCCTGAATGGGGAGATTGGATTTAATCGACCAATCAGTATCCATCTAACCCAGGACACAACAAGAGAGTGTCCTATATTAATACAAAATCAATTCAAACGGATTCTATATAAACATGAAAAGATTTGAAAATTATTTAAATTAGGAATTTTAAAAAGTTGTATGTATTTAAAATTGTGTTATGCTTTTTTGTAACCTATAACAATGTACAATTTAAAAAAATCGTATTGTTATAAATAGATAATTAAATGTTTAAGGTAATATTCAGGAGAGCACCACCCAAAAGGACCATCTGCCATTGATGTATAACCCTGTGGATATTGTAAACATTAGCTGTAAGGATTTACCCCTGCTATGATGTAATGAATTGTCATTAGTTGATGCAAGTCAAATCTTACGTGGCTGGTTTGTAGTATCTCGTTTGTAGTGTCTGTCTTGAAGGATACCCAATGAGCTTAAATGTAATATTTGCGTACAATTTTCACATGTTAAAATATATTCTCAAATACACGTATACAATTTGATGCATGTATCACGGGTGTAAGTACAGTTTTTAATTCATGAACTGTTACATACTTTGTTAACATGAACGCTTAAAGGTCCATGGTAAAGTGTATTGATTTGTGTTGTTCCATAGTGGATCGATTAAAGAATACACACTGCCCTTGGGACATTTATAATACAACTAGGCATAGTACTTTGGCATGAAAAGCAAAACACATTGTGTTGTGAGGAGCACCACTAGTAAGTCAGCTGCAATTGTGCCTGCAAAAACGGGCATGATTAGAGTTATTCCTGTCCATCATCATAGAGAAATACAATGCTCTTAAAAACAATTGTAGATGCTTTGATAGCCATGAAAACAGTATTTCATGGATGACAGGGTGTTCTTTCTGTCAGACCTGTGCCAAACATATTTAGATAAAAATGATTGAATTCGGCAACCGTCTCTGTAGGACAATATGTGATCAGCAGATGTAGCGTCTTGTGCAAGTTATGTAATGATGAAATGTGGCATTAGGGTTTTCTGTATAAGTACAATATGTCTATTTGTGCCGTGCACAAGCCTTGTAAATGTATTTATTAAAGCTAATTCTAGATTTGAAGCTTTCGTGACTGCAAGGATTCATATTCTTAGGTTTTTTCGGTAAAGTCACGTAGGTAAAAAAGGAAAATTAATAAAAGTTAAATAAAAATAAAATAAAAATCACGACGTTTCGGAGGCAACACAAGCTTTCGTCTTCAGGTCTTCAGGTGAAGACGGAAGCTTGTGTTGCCTCCGAAACGTCGTGATTTTTATTTTATTTTTTATTTTACTTTTATTAATTTTAATTTTTTACCTACGTGACTTTACCGAAAAAACCTAAGAATTATTAAAGCTATTTTAACTGTTTTTCAGTCACATGTACTCAAGTTGTGTTTTTTCTGTGTGATGTGATGTGTATGCAGACAAGTTCAACACTTACGTAACTCTGAAGGTGCAGAATCTGAAGAGCACCACCGTGACGGTGCGAGGAAGTGAACCATGCTGGGAGCAAGACTTCATGTTGTAAGTCTTTCTTCAGGGCACACAGTTGCACACTTAGATCATTACCCCAACTTGTAACAATTTATTTTAAATATTGAAAGATAATTTGTTCCTATTTCTATTTTAGAAACAATATTTTGGAAGAAAGTTTTAGTGGCATTAACTTTTTACCGTCTTTTCTTCTAGTGATAATGAACTTGATTTTGTAGCATACTGCATGCCTTTCTCTGTAAGGTATAGTGGATTCATCCTCTTTGAAAAGATCTTACTCCATACTGAGTTCGCCACCCACGTGTATAGGTTTTATAGCTTGAGAGCTCTCATGATTAGTATGAGTTTGGTCTTAAATGTGGTCTTCTCTTGTGTGTGTGTGTGTCTTCGTGTTATGGCGTTTTTAGATTTTACCACATTGGCTTATTCTGGAACATAAGTGTTCCCCTCTCATGACCACAGATTTTCTCCAGACGTCTGGAGTTCTTTAAAGGATAATTACATCCCAACAATGTATGGTTGCTATTTCGTGGATAAGTACTATATGTAGGCGGTGTACCAGCTGCTTTATGAAACAAATGTGTCTCTATTGTAAATATATGAATATGAGGAATGTGTATTATGTTGAATTTCGTTCGCACCATATGCAGCCAACCATGATAATCAGAGGTGCGGGGGCAGGACAACAAACTAAACAAAATAAGCATTCCGAAATAAATTCGTTTTCAATCTAGATTTAGATGTGACGTTACTGGTTAAATGACTGCCTTGTATGCATGAGGTCAGTGCTATATCGTTACTAACAGTCTTATAGTTTCGATTTAAAGCTTTCGTGACTGCAGGGATTCATCTTCTTGGTTCTTTCGGTAAAGTCACGTTGTGGCCGAAACGTCGTGAGAATTATTTTATTATGTTTTATTTTTATTATTTTATTACTTCCCTTCTACGTGACTTTACCGAAAGAACCAAGAAGATGTGTATTATAGTTACCACACAGACACTGCTCCTCTCTACTCATTTACACACTACTGATGCTTTGCACGACTGCGCAAACAGGTTTCCTGATTAAGTCATTTTATCTTATTTCACTAATTAAGGGAGCCTATGATTACAGCTACTTCACAACATATGGTGTATTTTGACAGTTGCTCGACGTTCTTCTATGGAGGCAAGTGAATAGGAATTCTCAGCCCATCATGATGACACATCACCCTATAGAATACGTATGTCTCTCCATGTAAAATAAAATACTGTAACATTTTAGTCCATCATCCTAATTGGCCTTCCCGACCAATTTTTTTAAACAAAATTTAAGCATTGCAAACATTGAACCACTTTCAAAGTCTCATGAACAGTCAGGCCTGTTACAAATGCTGCTAGGTTTACAGGTATTATAGGCAAGAGCCACAGAACAACACCTTTGGGTCCATTAAGTGAACAACAGACCCCAGGTGAAAATAAAATTATGTTTCACGACATCCATAGACAGAAAGGCTGAAGTGATATTTATCTAATTTATGATTTGACCATAATCATCCACACAGTGTATAATTCGTTTATTTATTAGAGCCAAAGCCTACGTTTTTCAGATGAAAAGGAAATATATTTTTAAAATCCAAATGTTTATTTTAAAGTCTGCACTGTGTGTATCGTTATTCTTTGATAATACAAACTAAAATGGCATTGATTAATTTTTGTGACCTTTATTTTTAATTATTTTTTCAAAATACCAATTCCAGATACTCCTGAAACATTATTGTCCAGGTAGGAGCCGAGTATAACAAGTGGGGAAATGTACTAGGGTGGTATGGAATAGGACAGGAGATTGATGATTGAACGGTTACTTGAGCTCTGTAGGAGCTATAGATTAGTTATCAGTAACACACAGTTTGAATGGAAGAAGTCGTGCAAGCTAACATGGAATTCGACCGATGGTAAGACTGCAACTGATTACATTATAAGACACCCAGTCTCAAGATCAGAGCTTACAGGGCTGCAGAAAACATGTAAGACAACAAACTAGTTGCTGCAGAAGAGTGAAGTTAGGGAGTAAGCGAGCTAAAGAACAATATTGCTAGCTTTGACACAGCAAAGCTAAATATCATCGAGGTGCAAAAACTATTTTAGGCATGCATTAAAGGCAGGGTTGTAATTCTTGCAAACTTGATAGGAGGAGGGGAATCAGAGCCCAGAGCAGAGGCATTTTGGAAAGGCATTACGGAGCTGCAGCAGAAGTCATATGTCTTAATGTAAGGAAGAAAGATAAGTGTTCAAATCAAAGACGCCATAGATAGGGCTAGGGAAGTGAAGAAATTGTGTGGTGAGGAAAATAACGAAGAACAGGTCAAGATGAAGGAGCATCGGGAGGAAATCAGAGTAAACTATACAGCATAGGATGAAGGACACTATGTAACACAATTTTTGTTCCTGAGAAGTAAGTGTTATTTTGTAATTGCTAATGCATAAAAAGTATTCAAAATGGCTATTATTCCCCCAAAACTTTGCTTTTGTGACCAGGACTGATATTTTTAAATTTACCTATTTTCAATGAGAAAACGGGCGAATTTGTGTCTTTTCGTTCACATAAAGTCAGAAAAAACAACATATGAATCAAAATTAACATGTATTTATACTAAAGTAATACAAAAATTACTACAAAAGATTTGGAAGTGAGTCGTTTTTCGAGATTTAAGATTATACTGTAAATCACTTTCACGAATCAGCCCCCAAATGTAGTCTCCCATCATGTTCTCGTTATACTGTCCTTGGTAGCGGCGTTCAAAGTCCAGTATATCCTGGTGGAAGCGCTTGCCTTGCTCCTCCGAGTACGCTCCCATGTTCTCCTTGAATTTATCAAGATGAACATCAAGGATATAGACTTTGAGGGACATCCTACAGCCCATTGTGCCGTAGTTCTTCACCAGTCTCAACCAGCTCCACATCGTTTTCGACCTTGTGATTGCCCAGGAAGCCACAAACCACTACGACAAAGCTGTTCCAAGCCACTTTCTCCTTACTCGTGAGCTTTTTGGGAATTCATTGCACTCCAGAATCTTCTTTATCGGTGGACACCAGCTTTTACCTTTGTCTTAGATAACTTAGGGAAGAAGTCTTGAAGGTACTTGAAGTCTGCTGACTCCTTATCTACAGCTCTGACAAATTGTTTCATAAGGCCCAATTTGATGTGTAGTGGTGGCATCAGCACCTTCCGAGGGTCCAACATTGGCTCCCAATTGACGTTCCTCCCCACAGAGAACTCGGTCCGCTGTGGCCAGTCCCGCCTGTGGTAGTGCGCCTTGGTGTCCCTGCTGTCCCAAAGGCAAAGATAGCAGGAAAACTTGGTAAAACCGCCTTGGAGACCCATCAGGAATGCCATCATTTTGAAGTCTCTGATGACCTCCCAGCCGTACCCATCATACTTCAAGGCGTCCAGCAAGGTCTTGATGCTGTTGTAATTATCTTTGAGGTGCACTGAGTGAGCCAGGAGAAGAGACGGGTACTTGTTACCAGTATGGAGCAGCACGGCTTTGAGGCTCCTGGATGAGCTGTCAATGAAGAGGCGTTACTCATTCTGGTTACAGGCGATTCAGATTGCCTTGAACAGACTGGTCACATTGTGGCAGAAGCAGAGCCCATCTTGACGGGTGAAGAAGCTGCAAAAATGTTGGTAATGCTTCCTCTGATCTGCGACTTGCACACTTTCATCCAACAAGTTCCACTGCTTGAGCCTGGACGTCAAAAGCTCGGCATTGGACTTGGTGAGACCAAGATCTCTGATCAAGTCGTTGAGGTGTTTTTGGTAGGGGTAGTAAGGGTTTCTCTCCTCAGCTCCACCTCTTAAATTGTCATCTGGATCTACAACATCTTCCTCGCTCTCTGACTTGCTGCTCTCTTCTGAAGACGGCTGCTCTCTCTCCGGAGGAGTGGGTACGGCGAGCTCATGGCAGTGTGGCACCGGGGCGATGGTTAGGGGAAGGTTCGAATACGTGATAGCAGGTGCATTCTTGCCAGTCCGGCGTTTGGAAGGGTCCACCATGCAGAAGTAGCAGTTGCTTGAGTGGTCAGTGGGTTCCCGCCGAATTCTTGGCATAGCGAACTTCATGGCTCTTTTTTCCCCTCTGTACCATCCTACAAAAATACATTTATTTCACCCATGACTAATGTGTAAGAGATTCTCGCAACATTTTTAATGTATATATTTTTTCAACAACATTGAAAATTGTAACACATTTTAAAATTTTATAAAATAAAATTCCAAGCAACAATTGTCCATCTTACCTTCCAGAGTTTTTTTGTTTTGCTCACAGGTGAAATGAGGTGCCCAGGGTTTGTCTTGATCCTCAACAGGCATGCCGAAATATGCCTTGTAGGCCTCACACATCTAAGCAGATGCTTCCACAGAGTAGTTTTTTACTCTTGTCTTGATAAATTGACCGCAGACATAGCAAAATGCATCTGCCGGATGCTTGCAGCCTCTAGATGACATCTCAGAAAAATGCAGATATGTATCCACTTCGGCAGCTGCAACTAAACTGAACTGGTGGGCTTAAGGCCCCTGTATTTATACTACTATTTATATTACTGGAAAGTTCTAGAATGTTATAGAAGTTACTCCAAGTTTACTCAACACTGAATATATCTGGAATGTTCTGGAAAATAGGTAAATTTCTAAATATCAATGTCCTGGTCACAAAAGCAAAGTTTGTGGGGAATAATAGGCATTTTCCGTACTTTTGAGGCATAAGCAATTAGGAAATAACACTTACTACCCAGGATGAAAAAAAATTGTTACGCAGTGTTATTGGAATAAACGAGAAGAGACGATGGGAGATGGTAACAACAAGGACAGCAATAATTATTATTTATGGTCGTTTGATTATGTGATAAGAAGATGCCAAGGAATATAGGGCTTTAGCTGGCTATGGATAGCAGTGGGACAGAACACTACGAGAGGGAGAAATAGCTAGAGGTGTGGTGGGCATAGTTTAGCCACCATTTTCAAGACAGCAAGCTATCAACTTGCTAGATCA